AGTTTGCATCATAAATGTAAAATAACATTGAATGGCAATCCTTTTCTTCCATGTAAGGGAAACCAAATCAAGCATGGGAACAAGGTATTCTTTAAAGGCAGAGAAGCTCAAAAATGGGACCCGGAACATTTTTGAAAGAGAAATACGAAAGATCCCTTAAAAAGTCACTCACCTACTTAACACAGAATTTCCTGTACCTTCATTCTGGCTTGCAAAGAGCTGTTCATGAGGGAAAAACATTGCTTGGATTAAGAAGAACTCAGCAAACCTACATACAAACTCAAATCAAGATAACATCAGGCTACGTGTTTGTTAGCAGACTGTTAATTGATGTAATCAGCGACTCTAAAAGTAGAACCACTATATCTTCCACGATATTTAATTCTTAGCTTGAGTTTCCTCATTCTTTCTTCGCATTTGGATGAATTATCTCTCCAGAGTAGGACTTTTTTTTCACTATAGTTCTACCAATAAGCCCCATTTCTGGAGTCCCTGTTTTTGCCATAATACAGATAAATAAATGACCAATAACACTACTGACAGACAATAAAATACCCTGTTCTGCCTTAGTTGGACAATTTCCGCTCAGGTGCAATTGCTCACATAGGTTACAAATCCACCACAGTGAAGCAGGAGGCTTCTTTAGTTTGCACTGTTGGTGTGTGTCAAATTACTCTGATCATTCATTAATGGGAAACCACTATCAAATGTTGAAGTTAAACAACCAGACCTGACAGAATTCCAAATTCTGTGATAACTCAGGAATTGTGAATCATGGGCTGGAAGGCAGGCACTGGCTTATAACCCTGGGGCTCTCCGAGAAGTATCCCAGGCTGATAAGCTGGCCCCAAGTCATAGATTATGCAGTTGGTTTTTATATTTTAGTGAAATCCACATGGAAACCCGTTTTCCTTTGTCACTGTCCACCCGTTTAGTTCACACATATCTGTTTGGTTCCCAGCTATTGTACAGCTAGCATAAATTTCATTTGATTTTGCGATCCATCTGTTTTAGCAGCACAGATTGACACAAACCACTCATTTTTTGCTAAATCATGTTTCCTGTAAGGGGTAAATTTTTACACTCATGACTGCTGTTTTTCAGAGCTGCATATATATATTTTCAGAGCTGTATAAACAGGGGCAATCCCATGTAAATTCACCTGCTCTTATTCCTGGACTAATACCGTGCAGCTCTGAAGACACATTTAGATTCTATGACCAAAAGAAATAAGCTGCAAAATTAAGTTTTGGAAAATATTCATTGAAATACCATGCTGAATATCACCGGAACAGTATCAGTGTTCAGCTACTAAGTTCAACTGCTGCAAGTTTGTGAAATAGTTCAGATGAGCAGGGTGGGAACAAGCATATTGTCACCTTTCTCTCTCAGAAAAGAATATTATGAGCCTTGAAGTTAACCAAAATGCTTCTGATTTCACATATTAATAAAAGAAAAGATGTTCTAGGAAATACTTCCAAATGATCTTTTCCTTAACTCTTGAAAAGCCTTTCCAAAAGTAATTAATTTTTAGTAGGGAGTTTTTGGTTGTGTGTTTTTAACTTAGTGTTGTTATATTCTTGTTAAGGGAACGGGTTGTAAAGCACCTGTTCAGAATGGAGCATGGAGCACCCACTTCCTGTAGCAGTTTGTTCTGGAAATGAAAACAAGGTGTGTTCCCAGGATGGGCATTACAAAGCCACAGCTGCTCATCTGTGGCATTCTGTTGTTTCTCCATTTTTCTCCATTTTCTGACCTAGGCTTTCCACAACCTGTCTAAGAAAACATCAAAAGACAAATACAGATGCTATCACAATAAATTCTGTCCTTTTTTAGAATTTTGCTTCCAAATGTTTGTCCAAGGTCTAATTTGAGGTCAAGATACCCATCAGGGTCACTCCTACCTCAGCTGCCAATGCTTCCTCTTTGCACTTCCCCCAGCCTTACATCACCAGCACCACTGGGATTCCCCGTGGTGGTGCAGCCTGTGGTGGTGTTGTCTTTTGCTCCCTAAACCCTGCTTGGGATAGTCTGGGAGAAGGGACAATCCCTGCCCACCCTGCCTACCCCCAGAATGGGGTTTCCACCTCCTGGATGACAAGTGAGAAGTTTGGCTTGACAGGTGGCACAGAAGACTCTCAGAGCTGAAAGCATTATGATGAACTAGCAATAGGACAAGAAGTAGTGGCTGTCAATTGTGCCAAAGGAAATTCAAGTTGGATATTAAGAAAAAATTATTCTCAGAATGAGTGGTGATACGTTGGAACAGGCTGCCTGGGGAGGTGGTGGAGTCACCGTCCTTGGAGTTGTGTGAGAACTACACAGATGTGACACTGAGGGACATGGTGTTGAGCTGTAACAGGCATGGGTTGATGGCTGGACTAGATGATCTTAGTGGTCTTTCCAACCTTAATGATTCTCTGATTCTAGGGATGGAAAGAGAAAGAATTTCCTCTCCTAGAGAAGATGCATGGTTTAATGGGATCATCTAGATCTCCGAATGTCTTCAAATAAAATTGGGCATAAGTCAGGGATGTGTATTACAGAGATTGCCAAAGGCAAAGGTGGACTGCCTTTTAAATGTTTTACACCTATCTATGTGCATTACTCATGATTTCAAATCCTCAACAAATAAACAAAAGGTGAGCCATCACCTTTGATGGTTCTCCCTTTTGCTGTTTTCCTCCTGGCACTTCCTAAGAGTTTGAGATAAATTTCAGCCTTTGTTTTAGAAACATGGCTTTTTCACATGGTTAAAGGGAAACGAAGATGAAAAGGTTAACCATGAAGCCAAAACACAGAAACCAAGAAACGAAGCCAAACAAATCCACCATTTATCTTCGTTTCACAGATCATTTTTCTAAGCCTACTCTGCAATTTGGGGAGCTGATCCAGTATTTTCAGTCAATAAAAATGGCTCTGCTTGTCAAAAGTTGTATTTGAAGTACATGGGGAAAGTAAGTCCAAAGCACATTGGCCTTCTCTGTGAGGTCTGCCAGGACAGGAAAGTTTTAGAGAAAAAATTGTAGTATAGTGTGGATAGATGCATGACTGCTGTGCCTTGCTTCTGTCTTTTACAGATCATTAATAATAAGCCTGCCTTTTTTTTTCTTTTTTCTTTTTTTCTTTTTTTGAGTTTTCTAGCTTTTCTACGCAGATGGGTGTTCTTTAAGTTCAAGAAAAATCCAGGTAACTGAGTGGAACTGCTCAGAATACCCAATTAGCATGCACTAATTCTCATCTCACTCTCTCCTTCTCCACTAAGGCATGTCTGCAACGGTAGTGCTAAGCAACATGAGTTTGTTTTATCATCTACAGATTTTATCATTAGCATTTTATCATTAATATAAATGTATAGTCACTAGGAATTACCAGGAATTAGAGATAATACGTAGCAGATACTTCACTAATCTTCAATTTTCTTTTTAACAATTATTCAAACCAGCACTGTATGGTGGAATCTCACTCAGTAGGCCCTGGCCTGCAGCTGATAGACTCCTGTAGTTCCAATAAGTACCAGTAAGATTCCAACGGCCACTTCGGAGTCCCTCTGAACACTGTCACTGCATTCGTAGCAATGCTTCGTGCTGCCCCTAGATATTTTATCACTGAATCATAGAATCATCTACCTTGGAAAAGACTTTCAGGATTAAGTCCGACCTTAAACCTGATCTGCTGAGTCCCATCACTAAACCATGCCCCTTAGTGCTTGGGACTGTTCTCACCCCTTACAATTTAACTGTGAAACCCATCAGCAAGCTTGTAAATGAGAGCATTGTGGCTGAAAGCAAAATTTATCTATTTAAGTGCCACGTAGATGTTTAATAAAAATGAAAAATATTTTATGCTGTACTGAAGAAAGTATTCTCAAAATAGGGGGCAAAATCATGGAATGTGGTAACATTTAGTGAATGCAGCATTTCTAGGGATCTGGAACTGATTTGCACTGATGCATCTTTCCTGGAGGTAACAGCCACATGAAAACATTTATACAGCAGGAATGAGATGCAAATGTACTAAATCTTCATGCTGACTCCTTTCCAATTTGGAACTTTTTATGTGCTTTATTATACAATGTCCAGTCCAGGTGTCTGAAGATAAGAATTTGTTCCTGAAGCAGGAATGAAGAACCAACATTTGTGTCACGTTGCATACGACCACACTGCAAGATGAGTTTGTGTGAATTAAAATCATGTGCTGCCATCACATCATGTTACTTGAATAAAAACAGTGAGGGTTTCCTAAAAAGTCCTTGTGTCTAAGTAACTCCTCACTGGATTAATGATGAAATTCATCAAAATGAAAACCTAAAGACAGCTCCCCTTGTCCCTGCTCCGGGAACTTTCTCGTGGAAACAAAAATGTGAAAGACTCCACATGAGAGTGGTGCTCAGAGTGCAGGTAGCCAAAGGCATGTGATTTACAGGAGTATTCCTTTGATGAAGCAGCGTGCCGATCAACTCAGGCAGTATGGCTGTAGAATTGCCCTGATTTATGAGTTACTTTAAATCTTGCTTTCTGCTGCTCTGCATATTGCCAAAACAAAGATATTGCATCTGTTTCATGTAAAATTCCTAATTCAAGCTTACACCCAAGCTTCAAACCAGTTTTGAGAAGTGAGAAGAATTAAGCCAGCACTTCATTGCTTATATTAAAACAAATAGCATTTTTGAAATAATATTTTTGTCAGTGTCAATACTAAGTTTTCATTATGGTGACAATGAAAAATTGCTCAGGATATCATTTTCCTAAATTATTTGGCACATAATAAATTATTTTAAACAATTTGGGGTAAATCAAGCAGTTAAGTGCAGTTTGATGCCACCACAAATGGTGTCTTCGCACACTAATTACTGTAACAACCGTGATACTATTGTTGTCCATACCACTTTAGACTGTAGGGAGGTTATAATTCAGTTTTAATAGTTTAAAACAATTCTTTGCTATACCAATGACAACATTGCTTGTTTTCATTTAGTATGTTGTATTTTGGAATGCACAAATAATTTATTTAAATAAAAGTATATACAAATATGATGAAGGAAAAACTCTACAGAGTTCGGTACAATGGCTGCATGCACTGGGAATGATGCTATGATTTGCTTCAGAGGAGTGAAGTATGAATTGAAAACTAGGAAAAATTTGGATGGTGTGCTGCAAATCCCATCACCACATCGAAGGGTCTTCAAACCTGAAACATATTATGAATAGAAACCTATTAAACACATTTTAAAGTCCTTTCTGGGAAATTCAGAGTTACAACTACTCAAAAATTTTCATTTTAATAATACCACCAATAAGGAATACATATCCACATTTGCAGCACAAGACTCCCATCAAAACAGATGAACCTTGGATGATCAAAAGTCTTGTATACTATATTGAAATATTTTAAGAGAGCTTTTTAGCTTTTAATCAGGAGTAAGCAGTTTCCAAAGAGAATGGTGCCAAAGCCACATCATGCTATCAGCATCTTCAAACAAAACTGAAGTAACCATCCAATATGTTATCATTGTATTCCACTCCTTAGTATCAAACATTTGAAATACATGTTGAAAGCAGTTCTGAGAGCAGGATTTGATCTAGTCATTCTCTGCTTATCCTGGCTACACAGAAAGATATTCAACAAGTTACCACTGAACATGGAGAGAGATACACGGAAATAGATTTGCCATCGTTTCTGCCATCTAAATATTGGGTGGCTAGTCTTACCTAAGCATCTAATCTGCTCTACAGTCACTGGAGAGACACCAACACCCTGAGAGGGTAGTTAAGCCTGCACATTTGAGGATGGAGTGGCTCATATGAGAGAGATCCACCTCTCCTGTTGACTACACAAGGAACTCAACAGCTCCTTCACATGAAATACTTGAGTTTCACAGAAGCAGAATGCATACTGTTACCGAGTCATAACTCCACAGGTCGAATAGATCAGAAAAACAACATCTCACTTTTTTGTTATAAGAACTTACTTTTACTCAGGTCAAAGCACCTCCTTTTTTCAATTCTTCTGTAACTTCCTAACTATTACTTGATTTCTGTAAGAAAATCTTTAAACATTTTTTGGATGCTCTGACATACGATATTTTAGTCAGCGAAAGTGAAGTGCTGAATTCAGCCAGACATGCTGAACACAGTTAAGCTGTTTCTTAATACCTCAGCGTTCAGCTTCATCTAAGATATACGATGTTTTAGAATATCATTAAAGTTTAGAATAATACCAGCCTGCCTTTAATTCATTTCGCTTAGTTTTCTCTAGGAGGAATGCTCACACAGACACACTGTACATCAAACGTGTGTCCAACCTGTGGGGCTCCCCTAGTTTCACTATGAGTTCTCAAACCCCCTGGAAAATTTCCACTAAGTCAGAGAAAGGTACTGATGTCTTGGAGAGAGTCAGCTCCTGATGTGTCATCAAACTCAGGGCTGGATAGAAAGAAGACATGATTATATCTTCACATGGGGGTAAAAGCTGGAATGGGGTGAAGAATCCATACTGTGTTTTATCCTAGAAAACATATCCATAGGAAACTAAACATCATTGTTCCCAGTACTCACATAATTGTCATCAACGAATGACAAACATGTTTTTTTTTCTCAGTTTAAAGTGCTGTTACAGGGGGGTATGAGATAAAAATCTGTTTCTCATCAATTCCTGATCTTAAATGCAGACTTGTTTGTTATTTCGCTCATGAGTCTTAGCTCCCTGGCGTGTTATAAGTAGCATTATTGAAACAATAACAACCATAAAATTTTGTTGTAAAGGGGGGAAAATTACAGAGTATTAGACTTTGTACTACCCTCTGTGTTGCCTCAAATTCATGGCAGCGGAAATTTCCCATTATGTGAGGATTCTGCCTCCTCATTACAAAACACAAAATAGTCTCAAGCATTTCAATGTACTCCATGCAGTTTTTTACATAAGCATATGCAGATAGAACCATTTCCCAACAGATGTGGTTAGTCATCAAGCCTTAAGTCAACATTCTTCCTACATATGGATCCGCAAAGCTGATGGACACTCCGCTGACAGCAAAGTTTTGGTCACCTCTTGGTGACATCATCATCCCCAAAGTCCAGTGCTACAAACTATTACAGTTAATTATTTAACTAGTTTAATTGAGCTTTTGCACAATGGATGGAAGTGCAGAGCTTGGAGACTCCTGAGATGGGTGCTGCACAAAACATTTATTCCTGCAGCAGTGTTAGCAGCAAGCTTCATACTTTCAGCAAAGTCCTAAACTGAGCTTATTCGTGATTTTTTGTGACTGAATGTTTTCTTTTACAAGAAAATAAAAATAAAACCCCCTGTATTTACTTTTTCAGCATAGGCAGAGTAAGGGAAAATTTTCACAGCTGCATAAATTGTGGTCACCACTACAGTATCTTACATTGTAATTTCAGTGTCATTACTTAATTATACATTATACATTTGAAATTCCAGTGCTGTTCAAAACACCACTGTTCTTCCAAACCAAGTGCAAGTGGAAATACAAAGGCCTTTTTTTCCCCCTCTTTATGAAACATTAGGTACAAAACAAGTGTGAAATACTGTATTTTAAAGAACACTCATAGCTATGCATTTGTAAATAAACATATCTGCACATTTATCACTCGTCACACTTCTTTAGAGGGGAAAAATGGCAACTTGTGGAGTAGGAAATAAATAAAAATATGCCATCTTTGGGGATCCAATGTGTAAGTAAATCATCATCGGCCATCAGTGCACGATTCTGTGCAATACAGTCCAGTAAAGGGCAAGACTTACAGAATGCCTCCCCTCCTTCAGCCAGCAGGTTCTGCCTGCTCTGAAAATCAGGAAACAAGGAGCTTGGACTATATTGTACCTGGGAAAGCATTTCTTGCATTGATAGGATGATTCTGGTTCTTAACAAAGAAGTTGAAAATGTGTGTAAGGATATGTTTATCCAGCTGTTGGTGGCATGTGTTTTCTCCCTGTGGAACATGGTTAATGATAACAAATAGGACTGTTAAATCTAAGTTAGAAATGAAAGCCTCTATAAAACTTCCTCAAACATACCGGGATCTAGGAATGTTTTCTGTGCTTTCCCTCAACAAGAGGTCTGAGATCAGTGTCTCTGGGCTTGATCTCTTTCCGTACCTAAGAAAAAAGAAAAAAAGTATATTTTTATTTATCTTGATATTTAATAATGAAGATTAAGCAAAGAACTATTAGGCAGAAAAAAAACCCTAAATACAGCTGATATAAAAACAACTTTGCAGCAAGTATTTTAATTAAATTGATCTACTCATGTTAGAAAATGTTCTTCAGTATTTCTTTTAATATATATTTTTGACAATTGTTACCTGACAATATTGAGCAATTCTATGTTTCTCAATTTGATGGAAGTTCCTGAATATTCGAGGACCTTGATCCTTACTGATCTGAGCATGAAGGAGGAAGCTGTGCATGGCAAGACCTCTGAGCATGTCATTCTTGCCCACAAACCCAGTTCCATCATCTCATTAATTTTCTCATTCTTTTACATACTGTTGTATCCTTCATTAGAAATCACATGAATGTAGAGTCAAATTTATCTATTATATGAACAGTACACAAAATTCATGCGTGCCATTGTGTCTGAAGAACTGGCCGAGATTTTTAAAAGCTAGCTAGTACATTTGGAGGTACCCACTATATACCAGATTCGGTCATAAAAACTAAGCTGCCCCAAGGCAATAACCACTCCTGAACTGCGTGGCTATGGAAGAGAGAACAGCCATCAGAATCAGAGTTCTTTGGTTGAATATCGTCTGCTACTTCTGTCTTATATTTACACAATGGCTGTCTGTTTGTTGTTTCTTTTTCTAAAATCAGGGATATTTTACCAACAGTTTGTCCAACAGTTCAATTACAGCAATTCCTCATTCTAGGAAAGAATTTACTCTCTTTTTCTCAGAAAACAGAAGCAACACCACACAGCCAGCTTGAGAGACACTTACTCACCATAAGAACTCATTAGATTACCAGTGATAACTGTAACCAAACGCTCCCTAGGTTGGAAGGAATTAAGATCGTGGTTTGTAACTTGTGTATGTAATTAGTCTGAATCACAAAGTACGTTAACAGATAATAGCTTTGTGAACATCACTTGAGTGAAATTCTAGCTCCAGAGAAGTCAAAGGTGCCATCAAAGACTTACATTTTATCCCTTGCTGTCAAGATACTTCTCCAATGGCTTAATTAATTTTGGGGAGGAGGGCAAGTTTTATCAATTGATGTCTGATTTTCCTGAAAACTGGACACATTTCTCACTTTATCATTTTATTTCTCTTTGTATTACTGCCTCACTTTAATCATTTCAGACCATCATATTTGGTCCAGAAAGACAAAGTATCAAATTCAGATTTTTAAAACAAATTTCTGAACCTATACTGACTGAAAGGTTAAATGCTATTACAGTAATGCAATCAAGCGTGGTGCTGAATAAAAAGCCATGCACTCTATCACCATAAAGGGATTTCTTTCCTGTTTCCTACTCCAATAAATAAGGATATGACCACGGCTTCAACTGAGGGGTAATCTAATTTGCCATTGTTTTTTAAGAAATTTATTTAACAAATATTAACAGCTTGCTCCAGCAGCTCACGTTTGGGCAAAAAGTCTCACTAACCTCTTGTAAAGTGTTCTCTGAGCAATAGGTAGCAACCTTCAGTAATCAGAGATTTGCTCAAACAGTGGAGAAGACTCTTGGAGACACACACATTATATGAGTCCCTCCAGCATGGCAAGACCAGTACTGCTACCTATACAGGACAGCCCCACCTTGTCATGAAACAGCAAAGCTGCACAGCAGGTGTTCCTTGGATGCACCAACTGGTGTGACCAAGGAGCAGCTGTTCTTCCTACTTCAGGTGCCAAAGCTTCCAGTCTACCCCATAATTTTGCTACTGGGAAACAACCATGGTACAGCCGTAATGCAAAGAGGTCATGAGCAGTTGTGAAAGCAAGGCCTCAGTGCAGATGTTCTCTCTTCTTTCAGCTGCTTCGTGCTTGCTCTGTGTCTTTGATGCACAGCTCTGAGACAACACAAACACAGACATCCAGGCCTTTTTTTGGAAAACATGAAAGGAAGAGGGCCTGTTGGTTACAGTGTGTGCATGTAGCACCAAGCAGCAGGAGAAAAGATTCAAAGAAAGCAGGGCTCTGAAGAAAGCTCTCAAACAGTGCAGCACAGGGGTATGATGCAAGGACATGGGACATTTTGGAGGACAGAAGTGGGATTAATGCAAAGACACGTGGATGTCTGCAGTGCAGGAGTCTGCAGCTGTGCTGGTCATCTTAGATTCTCTTCATCATCAGTGAAGATCTGGAACCTTGTAAACAATGGATTTCATCTGAAATGAGGAGTCTGAAGCAGGCCAGGAATGCAACAGGTATCTATTTCCCTCAGATCACCTCACAGGAGTACAAAGCTAATATGCTATGACTAAAGACAAATGAGATGGGATGTGAAGGAGAGGAACCCTAAAGGAGAGAGGGAGCAGAGCAGCCATGCAGACAAGGGCAAAAGTCAAGAAGGGAAGGAGGGATTGGAAGAAGCTTCACAGAAGCAGGGGTGAAGATCCCGTGGATCTTGGTCACTCACAGAGAATGACGCCCAAATGCCAGAAGCAGAAGGCTAAGCCAGAAGGCTGTCCATGAGACATAAACGTCAAACAAGAGTAGACAGATAAACTGAAGAGACAAAAAAGCACTGATCACAATCCTTGCTGCCCGTCCCGCAGCAAGCAGGCTGTGGACCTGGCCCAGCCCCAGCGGCCTGCTCACATGGGGTGAGCCTGGGCCCTGCCACCTCCCCACAGCAGGGCTGGCTGAACAAGCACCCAGGGCAGAGCCAAACACTGCAGCAAGAGACAGCTCTGAGCACCTCTGCTGTAACAGACCAAGTGATGCACATGTTTACATCAGAAAGCTTCTAAAGACATTTATTTATAAGCAGTTCATTTTGCAAGTGACTGTCACTGCTGAAGCAGGAGCTCTGTCACCTTATTTCTCTGCTGCTAATTCACCACAGAACAGAAAGAGCACAGTTCTAGTTGTTGGATTGTTTGTTTCCAAACTTTCTAGACAGCTTTAAAATCAAGTTGTTGTTACGACTTTATCTGTCGGTTTTCTTTTAAATCCAGGTCAATCCTGGATTGATGGAACCTGAATGAGAAAACTGAAATTCTGAATTGTTTTGTCTATCGCCAACAGTAACTATTCCATTCACTTCAGAGCCTAAATACAAGTGAAAGCAGTCTCAGACTTTGAGCTGTGTACTTGCAGCCAAGTCATAAGCAAAGAAAGCCAGGCAAAGTTAAAGAAGCGCTTGATCTAGTGGTTGGCAGCCCTGCTCATGGCAGGAGGTTGGAGCTAAATCTTTTACGTCCCCTCTGCCCTAAGTCATAGTATGATGCTATGCTTCTACATTTCTATACTGGAGGATGAATATAAAAGGAGGGGGTTGTTCAGCCTTGTACCTTTTAAATCAGAAACAGAATGAAAAAAAGGTGGAGACATGAAACCAGCCTAGAGATCCCAGTGCATGCAAGAGAAAGGGGCAGCAGCAGGAACAGATTATTTTAGCAGTCATCTGACAAAAAGTTACAAGAGCACAGAGCAACGCACAGAAACACACTGCACACACAAACAGCTGTGAATATTGCTTTAAAAGTCCAGGACTGAAGAACCATAATGTTATCAGCCTCCTCATCTCTGTTATGGTATTAGCGCACAGACAGACAATGTCATGGGTTTGCTGGGAAAGCTCTCAGCTACACCATAACCTCCCCTCTGATTTAACTCTTCAGACTTCTACAGGGACAAATGCAAGCCTTATTATAGATCTCTCATCTGGTTATGATATTAAACAAATATCAAAGGTCTTGTGTCACACACAGTTTAGGGACCTCAGGGAATGCTTCTATTAATCAGTCTGAACTGGACAGATGTTCCAAAGAACATAATTTTATAGCACAATGTTAACTTTTCTCAGCCTGAGCCTTCAGCACCCCTTTAAGCAGCACAGTGACCGTCAGAACACCAGCATGGGGCAAGGCAGCTTTAGGTCACACTCTTCTCTTTCAGCTTGGGCTCAAGTTCTCATTTATAGTCTTGAGAGAGTTTTTGTCAGACTACTGGGGTTTGGGGCATTCACTGCTCTATTAAGTAGCTGACAAAGTGCTTCAACTCCTACAACTTCTCAGCACAGAGCACTTTTTCCCAGTGAAACATTCACTAGTCAGTGGCAGCGACAGAAGAGTGAAACAGCTCCTACTGCTCTGCCTCATCCTCCCCAGGGTTAGTTACATTTTCTCTCGATTTTGAGGGGGACTCTCCCCATGCCCACTGCCCCGTGGCCACACTCCTGCCCACCAGCCCGTGTGTGCCAGGTGCCAGAAAGGGCTGAAGGAGAGGATGCAGCGTCGAGGCATGTGGAAATCCACCTCCGCACCCAAGGAGCGCGGGCACCACATCCTAACCCCCGCCGGGTTTTCCTGAAGGAACTCAGGAGAGACCTCCAGAGAGGCATCTCACTCCCCTCCCTCCCGCCTCGCCCCAGGAGAAGGGCAGCACAGCGAGCGGGGAGGGGGACGCTGCAGGGCCCGCCGCCTACCTCTGCCTGGTGATGAGGTTGATGTAGTGCCTCAGAGCCGAGTAGTATCTGGCCATGTCCTCTGCGGGAGCGTCCTCGCCGGGGCTGTCCGGTTTGGAGGGGTACGCTTCTGCCAGCGTCCCCAGGCAGACCAGCAGCGATAGGGCGAAAGTCAGCACCGACACCCACAGCCTCATGGTGCCCTGCATCTGGACGGCGAGCGGGGGAGAGCGGCCGTCAGCGCCCGCCTCGACGGCAGAGCAGCGCGGCCGACCCCCGGCGCGCAGCCCCGCGACCCCCGTGCCCGCGCCCACCCTGTCGCGGTACTCACGGCGGCGGTTGCAGTGGAGCGGCTCTGGGCGAAGCTTGGCTCTTCTTGCCCGTGGGTCGGGGCTCCCGAGTGTGGGACTCCGCGCCTCGCCGGGGTGTTTTAAGGCTTCCCCGGCAGGCAGGAGGGGCCTTGGGCGATCACGCCTCGTCAGCCCCAGCCCCCCCTGCCAAACCTCCGCCTGCGCCCTGCCCCGGGAGGGGCACCGGGCGGGGCCGGGCGCCGCCGCCGTCCCCCGCATCACGAGCACCGGCAGGGGAGCAAATCCCGCTCCGGGGTACCCTCCGGCCCCGGGGGTCCCCGATGTGGCTGTCCGAGAGCGGCAGGGAAGGGGGAACCGGGGCGGGAGGAAGCGTACCCCGCCTCTGTGGCATCGGGGGGATCCCAGCCTGGATCTGCTCAGCGGGATGCTGCCCGACCCAGTGCCAAGGAAGCGTGGAAGAAGGTTTTAAGGTTTGCGGCATCCAGAAATGCCAAATCAGTGCCCCAGGCTCAGTCGTTGCCCCCACTAAATAAATACACCTCGAGGATTACCTGCCCAGGGAACTGGCAGCAATGAAACTGTCACTGTGCACTCACTGCCGGGATGGCCCTGCATACCCATGGCTGCCTTCTGAGATACCATCCTAAATCTTATTGTGTTATGTTTCTGTGCCTGAACAACACACCACAGCAAACAGCCCACCAGTGTCATGGGATCCTGCTCTGACCCGCGGTGGTTGCCCCCTGCTGAACGGCACATGACAGCTTCTCACAGGACGAAGCTGACGGACCCATCTGTCCAAGGTGCCTGATTGTGGGGTCTCTTTAAACTTGCCCAGTCCTTGAGTCCTTAAAGAGAAATGGGCACCTTACAGCGAGCTAACCCCTCACACAATGGAGCTCTGAGACAAGGCAGAGTTCGAGAAACGTTTGGTCAGTGCTCTCAGAAATACGGTTTGAGTTTAAGGTGGTGCTGTGTGGATCCAGGAGTTGGATTCAGCAATCCTAATGAGTCCCTTCCAGCTGGGGGTACTCTATTGTTTTGTGATTCTAAGCAGGGTGGGCATCCTCAGCAACATGTCCTTCTGCACTGACAGCAGCAGAGTGCTGATGATGCATAGGGTGAAGCCAACTCACAAAGTTTCTGAATTCGTTGAGGAGTTTGGTGGAGTTAGCAACTACTCATACATATTAGTAAAATTGAATTAATTCTTTAGAAACAGGTAATTTGATTAGTGTCTTGATGGCCAATGACTAATTCCAGTTAGAATGACAAATCATGACTCTAAACAGATCTTATTTTTGCTGTAATTTGAAGGTAAAATAACAACCGCACAAGTAAGAATATCAGACATACTGACAGAAAGCTTTAAGACATCTTCTAAAATTGTATTATGCATATACTACATCATAGGTATTCATTGCTATAGTTATTAATATATGTAGTTACTGCTTTAATGCTCACAGAACATATTTTGAAAAACAATAATCAGGCAAGAGTAAAGCTGGAAATCATTTCCATCACTCTACATTGCCCCCAAAACCCTTATCAAGTAAATGACTCCTGCAGCATGCGAGGAAACTCACTGGTCTGTGTCCATCTCAAGCCATGGAAGCAAAGAAAATTCCAAAGCTCTTAATGTCAAAATGTTTTGAACTCTTCGTGACTCAGTAGTGCTTTGGCCACAAGCATTACAGCAAGACTGCAGCTCTCTTTTATCAAACGCTGCCTGAAGAATTTTAATTCATGTGAGGAACTTTCCATGGCATAGCCTGAGACTCCAGCTTCTGAGTACAGCACAGCCGAGGACAGGGTGACACTGTGCCCCACCATGTGGCCTTGCTGCACCCCATGCACTTTGTTCCCCCAGCAGCAACACTGCTGCAGCACCACTGAAGAGCACTGAAGGTGTTCATGTTGACTCAACACAAAATCACAGAATCATTAAGGCTGGAAAAGACTACTAAGGTCATCTAGTCCAACCACCAACCCATCCCCACCATGCCCACTGACCATGTCCCTCATTGCCACATCTGTACTGTTCTCAAACAACTCCAGGGACAGTGATTCCATCACCTCCCTGGGCAGCCACTGCATCACCACACTGTCACAGAAGAATATTTTCCAGATATCCAACATGAACCTCTTCTGGTGCAGATTGAGGCCATTACACCTCATCCTATCACTTAAATACCTGGAATAAGAGGCCAACCCCCACCTTGCCACAACCTCCTTTCAGGCAGTTGAATAGATATTAGGTCTTCCCTGAGCCTCTTCTTCTCCACACTGAACAATCCCAGCTCCCTCAGCCTCTCTCCATAGGAATTGTGCTCCAGACTCTTCACAGCTTCATTCCCCTTCTCTGAACATGGTCCAGAGCCGGAACTGAACACAGTACTCGAGGTGCAGCCTCACCATTGCTGAGTACAGAGGGAGGATCTCCCCCTGCTCCTGCTGGCTACACTGTTTCTGACACAAGACAGGATGCCATTGGCCTTCTTGGCCACCTGGGCACGCTGCTGGCTCATGTTCAGTTGTATGTCCACTATCACCCCCAGATCCTTTTCCTCTATAGCTTTCCAGCCACTCTGCCCCAAACCTGTAGCATTGCATGGCATTGTCGTGACCAAAGTGCAGGATCTGGCACTTGATCAGAAGGAGTCTAATCCCTGTGATGCTGCAAATGTGAACAACTGTGCTTTACTTCTATCACTTTACCAAATCCAAATCTTGCACCCATCTGGTTTGTCAGCTCTGAGGGGTGCAGGGGACCAGCAGGGACAGCACTGCAGCCCAGCACAGCAGGAAGACATGCCATCACCACAGTACTCCGCTCCAGCCTGGCTCTGCCACAACCACCTCCCGTGCCCTCAGCTCTGGACGTGACTTTCTCACCTTTAAACCATTTCACAAGCGTCTTCCAGTCACGCCTGTGTGGGGTGCCAAACCATACCACTTACTGCATAACTTCAGGATATTACTTCTTGTACAGTTCCAGCATTCAATTTAGGAAATCCCAAGTGATTAACCCAACATTTTAAACCAAATGATTTAGGAGGAAATTGTTCCACTGTTAACTCCTGCCGCTGCTCTCAGCATTCCCACACAGGCTGTAGCCTGGAAAGACGCTCTGTCCTCCACAGTGCCGACTTCTGCAGCAGTGCTGAAGCACTGCTCGCTGTCAGAGGTGTGCAGACACCCTATGCTGTCTTTCAGGATTAAGAAGACACTTTAGAGATTTCTTGAGGATGGAAACTTTTGCGTTTGAATAGAGAGCAACGGAGGGTACATCACTGTGGGGAAAAAGTGAAAAGGAAGATAACAATCAGATGTTATCTGTGTTTTAGTGACATAGTATGTAAAGATTCAAGCTGATTAGCCTACAAATATCAGACAACACCATGTACGTGAAGATGTCCAACACATCTTTCCACGGGCAGCATAAAGGTGTAATAAAATCACGTCATTTATTAATGGCAATATATATGATTACATTAAAGCGTGTTCGTTGCCACAATTAAAACTAAATGTAGTATTATTAAATTTAGAAACAATGTTAATTATAGCACGCTTTTTGTGGTATTCATTGAATTAAGCTTTATTATTATTATTATTATTATAAATACATACTATTACATTTGGATTAGTTGATCTTAGTGATCTTTTCCAACCTTAATGATTCTATGATTGTATGATCAGTGATCTTGAATTACCATTCTGTAACAGCCCACTAATAGTCCTTGTTTAAAATGCAAGAACAAGGCATCTGCAAGTACAAAGAAAGCATTAAAAACTGGAGCCCCCAGGAAGATAGATGAGCTACCAGGGATCTGGAAATGGCAGATTCTATCATCTGATGTTGCCTGCACTCTTGCAATTAAAATGTCTCACTAAAGGTCTCCGTAGCTGAGCAAATTGTCCAGAAATGCTCAATCTTTGGGACTGGAAGTTCAGTCAGATAAGCACTGCATAATTATTCAGTAGTCACATGAATTTATCTAAACCTATTTGGACAGAAAATTGACCTTCTGATTTACCAAATCTCTCTCGCGCACTTTACAGTATTGCACATTTCAGTCTGCTTAGAAACACTTTCAGAATAGCTTCTCACTGTACTTTGATGCATCACACCAATATACATTGCCAGACTTTTACGGGCTCCTTTCAGTGCTCTTATTCAGCTGTGCATAGCAGTAAGAGTTGAACAGAACATCTTGTAATCCCAGAGCAATGACCCCTCCTGGCAATTTGGTAATAGCACTATTTTCAAGAAGTGTATTTGTGAATCCAGTAAATGTTAAGAAGGTTCATTACGTTCCACCAAAATTATGGTTCTGGCTAAAAACAAACTGCATGAAAACAGAAGACAAAGGAAAATCCAGTGATAAAACCAAAAGCCCATCTGTCCTCTCTTCAATAGCACCTAGAATGGGTTTCTAAAGCTTTCATTCAGAACAGGAAAAGCACGCTATTCTGTTTGCTCAGTCTACTTTCCCAACTTGTAGAAAACTGTGCTCCAGGGACATTTAAGAGGGATGGCCAGCAGGGCAAGGCAGGTTATCATCCCCCTCTGCTCTGCCCCTGTGAGGCCTCATCTGCAGTACTGTGTCCAGGCCTGAAGCCCCCAGCACAAGAAGGACATGGAGCTGCTGAAGCAGATCCAGAAGAGGACTACAAAGATGACCAGAAGGCTGGAGCACCTCTTTGAAGAAAAGTTGAGGGAGCTGGGCTTGTTCAGCCTGGAAAAGAGGCTCTGGAAAGACCTCACTGCAACCCTGAAGTGAGCTTATAGGCAGGAGGGAAATTAACTTTTTATATGGGTAGAGAGTGACAAGGGGGGATGGCTTTTAGCTAAGAGGAGAAATTCAGGCTAGACATCAGGGGGAACTTCTTCACTGAGGGAGTGGTGCGGTCCTGGCACAGGCTGCCCATAGAAGCTGTGGGTGTCCCATCCCTCCAGGCATTCAAAGCCAGGTTCAAGGCCATGGGCAGCCTGATTTGGTGGGCGGCAGCCCTGCCCATGGCAGGGGGTTGAAACTAGATGATCTTTAAGGTTCCTTTCAACCCAAGCCATTCTACAGTTCTATGATTCTTGAC